GGGGGGGGCGTTCTCACTGGGATGGGCTCTGCCCTCATAGGAAATGTGTGGCCCCAGTTGGCATGTGGCAAGCTGGGAGCCTGCAGCGAGGAGGGGCTTGATGCCACGAGTTGAGAGCCCACCTTGTTGGCAGTGGGAGTCAGGTCAGGAAAGGAGGCCATCTCCAGCCTCAGGGCTGCGAGCTGGGGGCTGCTGGCACCTCCTCCTCCGGCCACCTGCCTCTCCAGTCGCTCCGCCTCTCTCCGGCTGTCTTTGAGCTGGAACAGCAGGCGGGAGCTGTCAGACACCTGCTGGGCAGCCTGGGATGACCGCTCGTGGGCTTCGGTCAGCATGCGGAAGGCTCCTGTCAGGAGAAGGGAAGGGGGGTGAGCCTGAAGAAGAGAGGACACTGTGCACAGGAGAGAAGTGGCCGCTCCCGCGGGCGGGCTGGGCTGCCTGCTCACCTGAAGGATCAGCACCGCTTATCTTTTGAAACTGCTCCCTCTTGCTCTGGTACACAACGAGAAGCTGATTGAAGCTTCGGCCCAGGCTCTCCAGGTCCCCTGGGAGAGACAGGATCTCTCCCTCCAGGGGCAGGTCCAGCTGCAGGCCCTGTAGGGTCCCCCTGAGACCGAGAGGAGAGAGGCTTTCACTAAAGCACCAAGGAGACTTGCCTCCCCACCCCGGACCCCGCAAGTTCTCCATGGAGCCTGGAAACACAGAGCTCTGCCGCTACAGCAACGGCAACAGAAGGGCCAGCCTACGGGCTGCAGAAGCTTACCCTGGCCAAGGGCCTGGACAGCCGCGCACTCCCCGGGAAGCCCGCCCTCAGGGGGGCCTCCATCCACCTTTCTCCTGCCTCAAATTTGGTGACTGGCGGTCCTGCTTGCCTTCCCTCTCTCTCTCACGCTCTCGTTCTCTCCAGGGCTGCTCTCCCAGCCCCTGGCCACCAGGGCCCACCGCTGGGCCCTCACCCCCCTTGGTTCTCTCCTGGCAGAGCTGCCACCTCCTGCTGACCTTGGGACCCCAGAGCAGCTGCCCACCCATTGGCTCCACCTGAAGGGGATTCAGGATCCATGCAGCCAAGCCCGCAGCCACTGAGATGTCAGGGGTTCCTTGCCTGGCAGGCCATCAAGAGCCCACCCCGAGGCCTTCCATTCTCCTACCTCCAGGCCTTGCTCAGGCCTGGGATGCCCCTCCACGCCAGCTTGTCCAGCTCGTCGGGGCGTGTCGAGTGACCACTGGGCTTTCGAAACTTCCATCGGACAGCACCTCCCTTCATGACGGCCCCATATTTCATTGTTTATTTAACAGTGAACTTTTATGATGTTATGATTACTTTGTACGGACTGCCCCCCGTCCCAAGGAGAAGCTTTCAAGGGCGAAAGTTAGGTCAGATTCATTTAATATCCTCAGTCCGTAGCACACTGCAAGCTCATAATAGGTAATGGGGAATTTAATTTTTTTTTAATGTAGAGTGAATGAATTCCAAGACTTGCTTGAGCTCCTCAGCCAGCGCCTCCAAAAAACAGCTCCTGCGCACCCCCCCCCCCCACCCCCCTCCTTTATCACTCTTCTCAGGCCGCCAGTCACACACCTGGACAGCTCTGTGCGTCCTCAGCCAGCAAGGGCTGCGGAAGCAAACTAATTATAGAACCTTCGAGAACCAGCTCTCAGGCAAAGGCTCCTCTGCTGGTGGGACGATGGGGTGTGTGGGTGGGAACCTTCCATTCCAAAGCCGATCGGAAGCTGTTTTCAGAGGCCCTGCCTCTCTGACGCCCTCGGCCAGGGTGACTAATGCAGGGAACGCAGGACCTGGGCTCTCGTCTGCGCCCGAGTCCCAGCTCCACCCACCCACGGCCGGGAGGCTCTGCCACGTCACCTCCCTGTGCCCAGCAGGGCTGTGCTATGTACGAAGGACCAGGGTAGCCCTGACGCAAGCCCGGGGCACGGGGATTACCTGAGGGCGAAGATGGCATTGGCCACCTGGGCCACCTCCTGCTCTGTGGCCGAGGCGCTGTTGAGGACCGCTTGGATCTGCTCCATCTTGCTCCTGGCAGTCAGGAGGCGGGAGGCCAGGCCGCGGTCGCCCAGCCCCAGCCCAGGCTGCAGGCTGGCCGTGGCGTTGCGGAGACCACCGAGGCGCCGGCCCTGCTCCCGGATGTCCGTGTCATAGGTCTGGAAGCACGGGTGGCAGGCTACACACACCGGGTAGCGGTCACAGTAGCCTCGCTCACACTGGTCGCAGCGGGGCCCGGTCAAGCCCGGGCGGCAGAGGCAGCGGCCCGAGGTCTTGTCACAGCCCCGGCCCTCGGTTCCCCGGAAGTCACAGTCACAGGCTAGGGTCAGGAAGAAGCAACGGTCAGGGGGTGGGGGCCAGGCAGGCGGAGGACCCAGGTGCATGCCTTAGAATAAAGGACGGTTTAGGCCCACAGAACAGCCACGCTTCACAACAACAATGGGAGCAAACACTGATTCCACAGGCTGAGCATGGAGCCCTGGTGGCGTAGTGGACTACACACTGGGCTACTAACCCCAAGGTTGGTGGTTCAAACCCACCAACTGTTCTGAGGGAGGAGATGAGCCTTTTTGCTCCGATGAGGACCCTCAGCGGCAGGTCTACTCCATCCTGCAGTGTCGGCGAGTAGGAACAGACTCGACCGCAGTGAGTTTGGCTTGGGGTTGGTGGGTCGGGCATCCACTGCCCTGCCCGGAAGATTGCAGCCAGGGAGACTCTGCGTCTGTTCTACTCTGTCATGCGCGGGCTTACCGCACATCAGACTCCACTTGACAGCAACAGGTTTGGCTTGGTTTGGTTTGTGTACGATGTTCCAAGCCACACATGTTAATTCACGGGACCCGTCACCACCACCCCAGGAGTGAGAAAGGAGTTGCCGTGGAGTGGGGAGCCCACGTGTGCTCCACTGACATTGTGGAGGCTGCTGTTTTGTAAGTCCGCCACCAGGCCTCTCAGGTTGCTAGGTAGCAGCTTGGTTCCTGACCCATTTGCACCCAGCAGGAAGTCCCTCTGGGAGTTAGCAGCTCCTTTCTCCCCTGAGGCACAGAGAGGTCAAGTACAGCGCGTCCCATTAGTTTCAGAAGCGGAAACCCATGCCTGCAGAGGAGGAGCAGTGGGCCCGTGTCACTGACCAGGCAATGGTGGTGGCAGAGCGAAGCCACCTGCTGCATCAGCCCGCCTCTGCTCAAGTCACCGAGCCGCCTCACCTGTGAGGCAGGAAGAAGAGCCCGCCCTCCCCCTCGCTGCCCTGGAAATGGTTCTGGAAAGCACCCTTCCTCGGACACACTGGAGAAAAGCGGCCGACTGCTGTTTGGTGGCCTGCCCCAGGGCCTGGGAGGGCACACAGACTGACTGGACAGGGGCGGCAGTCCTGGGAAAGGCTGCACTCTGGGTTCTGGTCCGTCCACATGTCACATGCTACCCTCACCTGTGCCTACCTACGTATCTACCTAGCTACGGTTAAACCTGCACCGGCCCACCCAGCATGTGTGCATGTGCTCATCTGCCCGCACCCTCCCCGCCTCCCCACCTCCACCCCCACACCCTACTCCGTGAGCACGCACCTCGGCATCCAGTGGCCGCATCTCCATAGGTCTGATCTGGGCACTGGCGGATGGCTGCGGTGTTACAGGTCAGGCCCCCGAACCCATCCCGACACGGGCACTGTCCTGTGAACTGAGGAGGTGGGGGTGTACTGGGAGGGACCGCTCTCATGGGCTCTGCCTGCCTGTTATTGGGGGGCCAGTCAGCAACCAGAACCCAATGGCCTGTGGAGCTGGTGTGCTACCCACTCCTTCTAAGCTCCCACTCAGGGGTAAGCCTGACGTGGCAGCCCAGAGCAAGCCTGGCAGGAGGCAAGGCAGGAACAGCTTTGCCAGAACCGAGAGAGCCACGGGAGAAGGGGACACTGAGCGGTCTCCCCAGAGCATGTGGCCCTGACTGGAAAGTTCGAGAGGGACAACATGGGGAAAGACAGTAAGCCTCCCTCTCCTTTTTACCTGGTTACACTGGGGGCTGAGTGAGTTGTGGGGGTCGCAGGAACAGGCCTCGCAGCCCCGGCCACTGGCCAACTTCCAGTGGTTGGGAGCGCACTGGTCACACTTGGGGCCCACCACGTTGGGCAGACACAGGCAGCGTCCCGTCTCTTCATCACACGGCATGTCCCGGGAGCACCCCAAGATGTTACAGTCACAACCTGCAGGAGGGATGGCTGCTGAGGAGGGCTCCCCACCCAGAAAATCTCATCCCCAGAGGACAGACGTCCCGGGAGTGGAGCCACAGCCTAGGCAAAGAATTGGGCAAGCTTGATTCCTTCAGGTAACGTGGCTGACTCACAGGACACCGCTTCCCCACCAGCCCTGTCACCTGGCCGCCTGGCCGCCTGGCAGCCTGCCCCTGCCACCTCTCTGTGACTCAGTCCACCTCCCCAACCGAGCCCACACCGCCACCTGCTGGAGGCCAGTGGAACAGCACCCAGTGTTGGGAAGAAAGAGAGACTGGGGCTCTCTCTCCCCACTGTACACCCTGAGCTGGGATTTCTTCTGCAGAGAGCACAGTGGGCAGGGCAGTCACAGATGCCCCCGCCTGTCTGCAGCCCGCCCTGCCCCGTGCAGACCCCGGCCCCCACCTCCATCCCCGGAGCCCCCACTCACGGTGGCAGCCCTGCGGGTTGCTGTAGGTGAGTCCCGTGAAGCCCGGTTTGCACAAGTCACAGCGCTCTCCCTGCACGTGCTCCTTACACACGCACTGCCCGCTCACTGGGTCGCAGGGAGCTCCTGGCACGGCCCCATCCGGGTCACACTCGCAGGCTGGGACAGGAGCACAGGATCACGGGAGGGACAAAGAAGAAACGTGCAGGTCAGGGCTTGACCGTAGGAGCCAGAAGGCCTGGGTTTAAAAATCCTTCTCCCACCACTAACTGGCCATTGACTTTAGTCTTACTTTTGCCCCTCAGTGTCCTTGTCTGAAGGAATAACAATGGAGATCATAATAATCACAATAATACAGGCACCACAGACTTCTGATGAATAAACGATGATGTGTACAGACCTCCGGACAGTGCCTGACACGTGTTAAGCACTAAAAAACGTATTTGGGGAGGTCCTTCTTTACTGACGACTGTGATGTGCCCAGCCTGGAGCTAGGTGCTATCACATGCTACATCATCTGATCTTCTTGATCACCCTGAAACTTGGATCTCGATATTGAAAGCTACTGAGGCTCAAAAGTCTTCAAGAACTTCCCTCAGGGAAGTGGTAGAAGTAGGAGTCAGACTCAAGACTGCCTCAGTCGCTCCACTGACAAGTGGTATCTGCAGGAAGTGGCCCCAGCCTCCACGACTCCCCCCCCCACCCCGAAGACCTCTTTTATGTTTTACAAAACCTAAGACTCCTTCATGCCGAAAGCCTTTCCCGATTAAACCTACCCCAACCAGATTGCTCCAGCTCAGTTTGCGTTCTCCCGTGGGAACTCGCTGGCACTTGGGGTCATGCTAAGCCACTCCCGCGTGCTCCCTGATGTGACTGTCCTATGCTCCTTCAACAGACATTCCTTAAGGGTCCAGTCTCTGCCAGTCAGTCCCCACACTAGGGCCTGGGGCTCTAAGACATCGTCCCTGCCATCCAGGGGCTCTCCCCACGGTGGATTTCTCCAAAAACTGTCAAAAGAAATACCAACCCTCACTCACGTGGCAAAGACAGTACCATAGACGGATAACGTGAACTGCACGGATACATTGGAGTTGGCTGGTGAGTGTCATGGGAAGAGGGAGGGGTGGAGATTTGACACTCGGAGGCAGTCACATGTGCTAACACCCCCCACCCACCCACCCACCCACCAAGTATGCAACCATGTGGTGTGCCCAGGGAAGAGGGAACAAGCCCAGGCGATGAGGGAACCCTTGGAGGAGCACCTAGGGGCGGCTGGAGGACATCTGCTGGGACCCAACCACGCAAGGCCCTGTATGCCGAGCGGAGAGTGTGCAGCTCACCCCTGGTTGGAAGCGAGACCCTCTGCGGCTTGTGACCAGGGCACTGCCATCAGATTTGTGCAGCAATCTCACAGGATGCTGCTGGGTGGCGGCCAGGCTGGACAGGAAGGGTCCGCTGGCCGACGGAGCCCAGAGTGGGCCAACTAGCTCCAAGCCTGCTGCCTCCCCCTCACTCCCTCTTGCTCAAGGATCTTTCCATTAGGACGATTGGCCCAGCCTGCTCTCTCCCTTCCCTAGTGAAAGTATTAGGCGTGGCCTGACCCTTTCTCCTTGAAAATAAAAAAAATCAGAGAAGCTTGACTTCCTTCGCCACATCCACACTGGAAAACCATCTGTCTGACGAGAGGTGCATGGTATGTGTTCCCCCCACCTTCCTTCCTATCCTCCCTCCTTATCAGATGTGCGTGGCTTATATGATAAAGCCCCGGGGGCACAACAGGTGAAGCACCAGGTGGCGGTTCAGGCCTATCAGCTGCTCTGTGGGAGAAAGAGGCAGCTGTCTGCTCCCGGGAAGATGTATCGCCCTGGGAGCCCTGTGTGGATCCGTCCAGTCAAGAGTGATGGGCTTGGTTTCTGCTCTATGGCTTTGCTCACCAATTATTTGTGTAACTGTCAAGCTACACAATGTTTACTCTTTCCTCCCCCAAGCCTCACATAAGGGCTCTACGCATTGATGGAGCGACTAAAATAAGGACTATATATTGATTGGCTGTCCAGAGGTGAAGTGATTTGTGCGCCATGAAGCGGAAATGGCCACCCCCAATCTCTGCCCACCCCCTGAGGGGCTCTGTGTCACAAAAATGCAGGTGGGGTGCCCTCGCATGGTTGTGCCTGGCATATATGGGGCCGATGAACAGATGACACCCTGGTCCCCAGCCCCTTACTCACGGATACAGGTCTCCTCGATGGGAGCTCCGGGCCGCCGGTTCCGGAAATAGTGCAGCTGACAGCGTTCACAGTGCTGGCCCTCAGTGTGATCCTGGCAATTGTCACACACACCGCCGTGCGCCCCCCGGCTGGCCGCAAACACCGCTGAATCGAAGTGGCACGTCTCTGAGTGCCCGTTGCAGTCACACCCTGCAGAAGAGAGTCCACGCCTGGCGTTCACAGCAGCCCCCTGGCACCTCTGAGCAACAATGCGAGGGGCATACGCGGGCAGGCGATGGAGATACTGAGGCCCAGGGAGCTGTGGGGCATCTAGTTTAAGTTGAAAAAACAAAACTGCTGCTGTCACGTGGACACCGACTAATGACAACCCCATGTGTGTCAGCGTGGGTTTGCAATGGCTGCGCTTTCCCGGCCTTGCTTCCAAGGTGCATCTGGGAAGCCTCAAACCTCAGATTCTCAGTGGGCAGCCTTTGCTGCCTCGCCCGGGGGCTCCTATTCACAGGAACTGGGGAGAAGGCGGAGTGGAAAAGAGCTCAGACCACTGCCGCCTGTTGTGGGGACAGTGGCCACTAGGTTAGGGCAGAGAGAACGCCCTGGGGCCAGGCTAAAGAGATGGACAGGGACAGGAAGGGAACCCCCCCAAATGCTCTCCATTCCACCAAAGACAACAACCAAACCGAATTCACTGCCGCAGGCTTGGTTTTGACTCACAGTGAGCCTGCAAGGCAGGCTCCAACGGCCCCCAGGGGCTTCTGAGACGAACTCTTTGCCACAGCGGAAAGCCTCGTCTTTCTCTAGCCCACTGAAGCAGGGGAGCTCACATCGCAGGGTTATAATTAAGTTCAGGTAGCATTCATAAAAAGTAAAATCTCTGTGTGTCCCGGTCAGGTCACCCAGCCCCAGAAGGGCCCCCACAGGAAAGGAGTCGAGCCTGGGCTCGTACTTTGGCACTCGTGGGGGTCCTGGTCATCTGCGGGTCTCCAGGGCCGGTCGTTGTAGAAGGGAGCACAGCGGTCGCAGTTGGGGCCGGCAGTGTTGTGCTGGCAGACGCAGGCGTCATGGACCTAGGAGAAGCAGGAATTAGCGAAGGGAGGTCCCAGGGATGCAGCGCTCCTCTCCCCTCGGACGCTTCAGCTCACTGGGCAGGGCCCAGCTCAGGCCCCGGCTGGAGCAGGGTGTTTGTTTTCCCTGAGTGCGCCTGCCTGCGTGCGTGCGTGCGTGTGTCCGCGCATGCGCACGCGCATGTGCACATGTGCTTGCTCTATTCCTCTGCCGAGGGTTTTAGAGCCCATTCCTTGCATTTGGATACCTGCAGGCTTGTGCCTCCCAGCCGGGAAAGCATGCAGACACTCTTGCTGGGACACTGGTACTCCAGAAGCTGGCAGGCCCTTTGGGAGTCCTATTCCAACACTCCACGATGGTGGCTATGTGGTGAAGGAGACTGTTCAATCAGTTGTTACTAGGTTCATTAAGGCACAAAAATAGAAGAGCAGGTGTGTGCAGATTGCTTTCCAAAACCGGCCTAGCACCCTCAGCCTGGTACCGAATTTGGTCCCAATCTCTCTTCCAAAGACTCAAACTCACTGCCACCCAGTCACTTCTGAATCACCCCTACAGGACAGGATGAATCACCCCTGTGTGTTTCTGAGACAGTAAATCTTTAAGGGTGCACACGGCCTCCTCTTTCTCCCATGGAGCAGCAGTGGTTTTGAACTGCCGACCTTTCGGTGACCAGCCCAATGCTAACCTGTTCTCTGTCTTAAGAAAGAAGAACTGGGAGCAGAGCTTGTCCTTTGCATCCAGGATCTCTGCTCTGGGGAACTCCAAGAGCCAGGGAAAGATTGATGGCAAGGATCTTCCCTCAGAGCCAACAGAGAAAGGGTGCCTTCCCCTAGAGCTGCTGCATTGAATTTGGACTTGTAGACTGCTAAATAAATTTGATTGTTAAGGCCAGACACCACAGGGAGCTCCCAGCTGCTCCCAGTGCAAGTCCAGCTTCTTCCCACCCTCGGCCTTTGCCCATGTGGCCTTCTTGGAATTCCCTGCTCTCCACGTGTACCCACAAAACTCCACCTGCAAAGCTCCAGTGGAGGGTGGCATGTCCTTCATCAAGCCTGCCCTGGTCCCTCTAATCCAGCAGTTCTCAATCTGTGGGTCAAGACCCTTTTGTGGTCGAATGACCCTTTCACAGGGGTCGCCCAATTCATAACAGCAGCAAAATTACAGTGACGAAGTAGCAACAAAAATAACTTTATAGTTGGGGAAGTCACCACAACATGAGGAACTGTATGAAAGGGTCGCGGCATGAGGAAGGTTGAGAACCACTGCTCTAAGCCCACAGACTGATAGCCAGCCGGGCTGCTCTCTGAATCCCCTGGGGAGCTTTGACAGCAGAGTAGAGTGTGGGCCCACCCAAACCATTCACTCCAGCTCCCACGCAGGGACCAGGCCCAGCGCTAGGTTTCCATTTCCTTTTTCGGTGGCTTACAGGCTTCCGTTTGGAAGAGCAGCCTCAAGACGAGAGAAAAGCTGCGTAGAAAGGACAGAGGGGTTTCCCTCCGCGTGCTGTCCCACCCATGACTCACATCTAAAGTCCACAGCTCACGCTCCTGAGGGACTCACTCCTGGGGGCTTCGGCTAATACATAACGTCATGCAGTCCACAGTGCTGCATTTCACAGAATAGTTTCACACATGGAAACAAAATAAACTGGTTGCCAGTGAGCCTGTCAAGCACCACAGCCTGCTCCTACGGAGTGGCCAGTGGATTTGACCTTTTGGTTAGCGGCTGAGTTCTCAGTCCCTTCACCACCACTAATCCTCCCCTTCCACCCCCACCAACCCTGGCAACCACCGATCTTTCACTCTCCACACGCTGGCCTTTTCCAGAACGCCCACCATGTTGTTAAGTGATGATCGATTGAGAACCCACAGGGCAGGGCGTGCTCTGCCCCTCCCCTGAACCCCACAGTGCTCTGCCCTCCTTACGTGGCAGCCATTCAGCAGCTGTGCCTTGTTTGCCTGTCAGTTTCTACATTGACAGAGGAACGGAAGTCACAGGCAAGTTCAATGGCAGAGCGCTCTGCTTTGTCCATCAAGGCTCTTTCCTCTGCCGGCGGTTCTGAAGTTTGGTCTCACAGCAGAATGTCCTCAGGAAGCTGAGGTTTTCAAACTGCTGTCCCTAGTGAATCTAATTCGGCTGGTCCAGAGCTTGACGTAGCATCTGGACTGCACTTAGTCCCCTGAGCTTGTCCTGTATTCCACCTGTGAACCCAACTCACTGCCATCGAGTTGATTCCAACTCACAGCGACCCTGGAGTAGACTTGCCCCTGTGGCTTTACAAAGACTGTCACTCTTTATGGGACAGTAAGCCTCGTCTTTCTTCCACAGAGCAGTTGGTGGTTTCAAACTGCCAACCTGGTGGTTAACAGCCCAATGCATAACCACTACACTGCCAGGGCTCCACCCAACAAAGACTCCTACATGAGTGGTTATCAATCCTAAACATATGAAAGCTTTAAAAACCCAACATAGACCTAGATGTCATTCAGTCTGTAGCTGGTTATATAAACTATGGTATATCTGTAAAATGAACTATTCTTCAGTGATTTAAAGAAGAGAGAGAGAGGCTACTTGCCATGAAAAGACATGGAGGAATGTTGCATGCGTGTTCTTAAGTCAATGAGGCCAGTCTAAAAGCCTTACAAAGTGTCTGATTCCGACTAAGTGACATTTTGGAAAAGGTGAGATGGTAAAAAGATCCGTATTCTCCAGGGGTTCAGAAGAAAGGTGCAGAATGGAGTTGAGAGCATGCTGACAATGGTGAATTGTCCTGCAAGCTGCTGTCATGGTGGGCATATGACATTCATTCATGCATTCAAACCCACTGGACTGTACAACACAAAGAATAAACCCTGACATAAACTGTGGACTTTAGCTAAGAGCCATGATTCATCAGCACCAGAAGAACAAATCTGTTTTGGAAAAAATACAGCCAGAAATCTCGTTAGAAGTGAGGATGGAGAAACCCTGTCTCACTGACTTTGGACGTGTTACTAGGAGAGACGGGTCCCTAAGTAAGGCCATCATGCTGGGAAAGTACAAGGTCAACCAGAAAGATGACCCTCAACAAACGGGCTTGGGAGGATGGGCTTTTCAAACATAACACTTGTTAGGATGGTACCAGACCAGGCAGTGTTTTATTCCATTGTGCCTAGTGTTGCAATGACCTCAAGCCAACTGGAAGGCCCCCAACAACATTGGTTTGTCAATTGTAACAAATGCAGTACAGGAATAGGTACAGAGGGTTGAGGGGGGAAACTCTGGAATTGGTACAGTTTTTAGTCACCCTAACCCTGCTCTAAAATATAGAGAGTATGAATTTAATAATAACTACATGTATAGATATGGTAATTACATAATCTGTTGTCAAGTTGAGGATTAAAAGTGAAGGAGTGGAGTTTAGCCTGTCAATCAGATCACAGCTTGATGACTTCAAATAGCTCGCTGGAGGTGGGACACAGGTCCACTCCCTGTGAGACATTGCAGCTGACAAGACACATGGAACTACACTAGTGTCCTGAGCTGGAGGAGCCACAGGGAGACCCCTGGCAGTGCTGAGATGCTTATAATGCCCCTGGATCCACAAGACTTCCCACCCACTGGCCTGTGATCTTCCTGCATTCAGCATCATTGCATGTGTTTCATGAGTCTGAAGAGGAATTTATAGATTAGTATTGGACATATGGGCTCATATCTGACTTACAGACTTGATCTGGACTGGGCTAGGATGTTTTCTCAATACTCAATTGCTCTTGTATATAAAGCTCTTTCCTATACACATAAGTGTTTATAAATGTGTTTCTCTAGTCTACCCAGACTAACACAATAGGGTTACCATGAGTCAGAATCTATTCTATAGCAGTGAGTCTGAGTTTTGCATTATATATATATATGATTCTACATAGTATCTCAGGGTATAAGTCTACATATTGCTTTTTTTTATATGAAGCCAGGATTGAGAAAGCATTGTCTAAAGCCCCCCACACACACGCACACATTTACTTATATGTACCTGTAGTACTTACATGTACCACACTGATTTATATGGTATCGGGAATCACCATAGTAGAGGCTGAAGGAAGTACAACAAAATTCTGATTGTGGAATTGACAGTCACTTAGATTATTATTTGTGTGTATGTGTGTGTGTGTGTGTGTGTGTGTGCATGAAACATTAGCTATCCAAGTCTTAAATACAATATTCTCCCAAGGAAGGTTTTGGCCTGCCTTGCCCATGTCCCGTCCCCTCATCCCTTCCCACGAGGCTGTCACCTGCACAGCAGTGGAGGGGCCTGCAGTGGCCCCAGGTACAGGGGCACAGCGGTCAGCATGGCCGTGACAGAAGCAGCTCCCCTGCAGACGCAGCCGGGACACAGCGTAGTAGGCGCTAGGCGGGTAGTAGCCTCTCTTGGGCACAGGGGCCAGCCTGGTGAAGTTGGCTCTGAAGTTGGTGATCTCCCCCAGCTCTGAGAAGGCCAACAGCAATGAAGGAGGGAGTTAGGGAAGAGGAAAGAAAGTCAGGGATAACTAGTCTCCCAGAGCAGGATGGGTGAGAACAAAATGCCTGTCTCACCATCCCTTCTTCCCTCCTTGGTAAGGTTATACCAGGGAGCCAGCCTATAACCTCTGGCAGTCCCTACTGTCTGGGAGCAAAGACTCGGGCTTTGTTAGCCTCAGGTTTCCACAAGATCCCTGTGAGGCGGGCAGGGGGAGTACGAAATGCCCAATCATATGGATGGAAATACAGAAGGCAAAGCAATGTCCACGACTTAGATTCCAACTCCGGTTTGGTCCCTGTGCCCACACTCAGCCCCACAGGCTACAATAGTAGCCAAGCTCACTGACCTTGAATCTTTTGACCCTGAGTTACTGGGAATCCAGAAGCTAAATCCATGATGCTAAGTTGAACCTGCAGAAAGAGGAGAGGGGGAGGGGCTGAAGATGAGGCCAACGGTGCTCCCATCCTGAGAAGCCCTTTCCACCCAGTGGCCCACCCACCCATGGTATGAAGTTGGTCAACTGCCCTGGAGGAAGTGATCACTGGACCCAAAGGGTATGTGTGTGTGTGTGCAACTTCTCTTCCCTGATGAAAAATAAACCACAAACCAAACTCACTGCCACTGAGTCCATTCTGACTCGTGGCGACCCTATAGCACAGGGTTTGTGAGATGGTAACTCTTTGTGGGAATAGAAGTCCTCGTGTTTCTCCCTCGGACAGGCTGGTGATCTTGAACTGCTGACGCTGCAGTGAACAGCCCAGTGCATAACCACTCTGCAGGGCTCCTCTCTAGGGAATTCATCTACTTTCTTGGGCCAATGGCTATGGTAAGATGAATAATCCATACACGAGCGAGCGCTACCATCAACAACCAGGGAACAATGCTGTCACTGAGCCCATTCTGACTCCCAGCCACCCTGAAGGGCGGGCGGGGCTGCCTCATCCAGTGTCTCAGCCTGTCCCCTTTCCAGAAGCCGGGGGCCACATCCTTCTCCTACAGAGCGCTGGTGGATGCAAATCAGAGCCAGGAGGCAGGGGACACGCCTCCTTCCACTACTCAGGACAAATGAACACTGAGGAGTTGATCAGTGATGCGGATTTTACCCTTTCCGCTACAGGGGAGTGTGAGTGAGCTGCACGCAGGACGCTGTGGGAAAGAGCCGAGATGGGCTCTAGAGGGCTTCCGAGGCTGCTGACCTGTCCAGGCTCGGCAGCAAAGACATAAGCACCAAATGGGCCATCTCGGGGAGCTCGGGAAAGGCAGAGGGCGGCCCACTGAGGCTTCTCAGCTCCTTTCGAAGAGCTGCCTGAGTCATGCCAGGGGGGTGAGACCAGACTGGCTGGCACTGGGGGACAGCCTGGCGTGAAGGTGAGTCTGTGTGACTGTGTGCATGGCATGACACCAGGGTCGACCTCCGCCCACCCTCCCCGCCGACCGCGCCCAGCTTGCACCACAACCTCCAAAGAAGGCCCAACTTCCCAAATCAGGCTGAGTGTTAGGAATGAACCGAGTCTTCCAAAAAAGATGGACGGAAGTCTTGGCTGCTGTGGCTGCGCATTCTGTTACAGGTCAGGTCCCTCTACTTACCCTCCCCCCATTTGGGTGCCCATTAGGCCTTTGGGGGAGAGGCTGACACCAAGCTTCCTGCCACCCCTGAGGCTGGCCCTGGCGCACTCCCGGGAAGGTGGAAGTACAGTCGGTAGCCAGGTACTGGTATACTTTCCAGGTCTTGCCGAAGTCTGAGGAGCGTTCAATCAGCATCCCGGCAGGCTGGGACCCCTGTGGAGACACAGACAGGATGGGTGGGTCTCCCCCATGGGAGTGATTGAGAGAGAAGAGCCCACGTGGTGCCCCCGGGAGTCACTCACAGAAACAGGCTCCTACAGAAGTGCTCGTGATCCCTGATGCCTGCAGGGAGGAAGGGGCAAGGGGGCCCAGAGTATCTGGACCCGTTCCTCCTGGCCAAATACACACAGGGGTAGGGTTTCCCGAAGGAACTAGGGCAAGGAATGGAAAGGAGATCTCCTCTCTAGAAGGCGTGCTCCCACACAGGCCCGCAGGCTGAACTAGTCTCCAATCTGCCCTGCCCACCGAGCATCAACCACCTGCTGTCCTTGCTAGCTCCTGGTTCTGTTCCTTGACATGGCTTTGGTGCTGTGGTCACCCCGAGCTGTCCACCCTCAGCAGCCTCCCCTCTGTCTTGCCCTCTCCAAACCACACTCCCCACTTCACCAAGGGATCCTCCCACATGGTCAGCACATCATGTGCCCCCAACGGCACCCCTCCACTCAACTACATCGGCCCAAAGTCAAACGCAGGCTCTTTCTCTCGGGCCGGAGTCTTGTCTCCCTGTGTGCCTATGTGCGCGCTCTCTTGGCGATTTCTCAGAGCTTTAGATGGTGTCTTTGCGCCGACCGTGCCCAGATTGCACCACAACCTCCAAAGAAGGCCCAACTTCCCAAATCAGGCTGAGTGTTAGGAATGAACCGAGTCTTCCAAAAAAGATGGACGGAAGTCTTGGCTGCAGTGGCTGCGCATTCCGGGCCCGGTCCCGCTCTCGTTTCACTCTTACTCCAGTCCCGTGCACCACACAGCAAACAGAGCTTTCTTTGAAAACCTGCAGTCCACTGTGTGTCACACCTCTGCTGGGAACTACCCGATGGCGTCTCAGTATTCTTGAATGAAATCCAAACTCCAGGAAGCAGGCTGCCTCCTCCCTTCAACCCCTGCCACCACGGCCCTCCAGCTCTGCCCACTGCAGGAATGGACAATTAAATGAATGGGCGAATGATTTAAAAAAAAAAAAAGCCATGGGACTATTGGATAGGACTCATTCAAATGAACGCTTCTCCCCTTTACAGGCGGGGCGTGGATTCACAGGAGAAGTAATTGCACCGAAGGAGCAGACTGTCCACCAAGAGAGCCACTCCCACGTCGCATCTTTCCTGTGGACGGGCAAGGCGGTGGCCGCATGTTAAAGGAGTGAGCTCCCTGGTCCCTTCCTGTCCTCAGGCTGTGACTCACAAGGCCGTGTCTCCTTTGGACAACAGCGAGGTTGTGTCTTTGGACAGCCGGCGATCGGCAGTCAGGAAAGCACAGGCGGATCGCAATGCCTCACTGGAGAGTAGGCAGCATGACCAACCGCCAATGCCCAGCTGTCACGTGGGTCCCTATTGATGGGGAGCCCCTGGGTGTCGGAGAAGAGCTGTGCTCCAGAGGGCTTTGAGTGGCTGGTTTTTCTGAAGGAAATCACCAGGCCTTCCTTCTGAGGCTCTTCTGGTGGGTCCTAATGTCCCACCTTGTGGTCAGCAATGGGAATGTGCTCCCTGTTTTTTGTCACCCAGGGACTCCATCCTAAGCAGCCCAACCCCACTGTCATCGGCTCAACGGCAACTCACAGTGATGCGCTCTAGGATTTCTGAGACTGTAAATCTTACTGGGGCAAACAGCCTCATCTTTCCCCTGAGGAGCAGCTGCTGGGCTTGATCCACCTACCTTGCAGCCCAATGCCTAACCCACAGTATGACCAAGACTCCTGCGATGGGCAACCAGACCTGGTAGCATTGATCCCTGCAGTACCGAGTTGTTTAAAAGGGGCCTTCTGCTGTCACCAGGGTACAGGCTCGGGGGCAATGCAATACCACACGTGAAAAGGAAGCCCGCCACCATGATGCCATCCTGCCCAGCCGAGAGTGACCAGAACGCTGTGCTCTACCACAGGGTCTAAGTCCCCCTTACCCACCCACTGTCCTTCCTGGTAAGCACACCTGGAAATCCATCATGATGTCCTGAAGGTAGAACTTTCTGCCCAGGTCCAACTGCAGAGAGACGGGGTTCACATCTGGAAGGACAAAAAATTACAACTTAGGTCAAAAATTGTCTGCCTTCCCAGCCCTGGAGAAGCTCCAGGGCCGAAACTCCCCAAGCTTGTCTCTCTGACTTCCCCCTGGAGAAGAAAGCTACCAGTCGGCAGAAACAGACTTATGTCATCTATCCAAACCCTGCGTGTTCTTGGTGAAACGTCCTTCCTCCAATTGCTTAACACCTTGAAGAGTTTCAACTTGCCTCCTCAACACAGCCTTGTTCCCAAGCCTCGTTCATTCAGTAGGCCCATGGCAATTAAGGTGGGTGACATAAAGTCCTTCCCCTTGACTCACATTCCTGCCTTCACCGCTAATAAACCTTTCTATCCATGCGCCCCCACCCCTGCAGACCCCCAGAGAGGTGCTTGTCAACCACCCTTGCCCACCACCACCATAAGAAATGTCTGCGAACTCAAAGGGCTCCTGACCACCCTCCACCCATCCCCATCCGACAGAGGTCACCCGTCTGGGCTCCTGAAGGTGGCAGGCCCTTACCATTCTGAGACTGCCACCAGCGCGTGTGGCCAGAGGATGAAGCGACATTCTCTACTCGGTGACTGTTGTAATTGTGAGGCAGCCGGGAGTCACACTTGCAGCATTTCATCTGCCACTGTGGGAGAGAGGGGCGCGCACGCGAGACTCAGAGACACATCCTGACAGGCACATCCTGACACCCCTTGTGCCCCGAGAGGCTGGCACGCTCCCTCGGTGTAGTGCTAACCTTGGCCATCCACTGACTTTGTTGCGTCAAAACACCTCTGAGGAGTAACCTCGATTGGCAACCTTCTAATTGAACCCCCCTTGGCCCCTTCTATTGCCCAGTAGGTGGTGTGACTGGGAGAGGGGTATAAAGTGGTTGGGGGGAAGATTGTTTGGGTATGTGGCACTGCCTTGAAGGAGAAACAGAAATGGACAGAAATGGGCACGAAGGGCAAAGCTGAAAGGAAGGGCAACGTAACGGGATGTGACAGGGATGGGCTAGAAAGTGGCTGTCCCTTCACATTTGATCCTGGCAGCCTCCTGGAGAACCCCAGGTTTCTAAGGAGCAGGCAAAGAAGACACCAGAAATGAGGCAGAGGAGTGGGGAGATGGGTGGTTCCTGTCCTGGCTGTGATCCTGCGCTTGAGGCTCAACCTCTCCTCTCTACATCAACCGGGGGTTGAAACCGCGCCATGTATTTTTTGGACCGTGAGTGCATATATCTCTAGAGCTGCCCTGGGTGCACAGCAGCGAACGCAGCAAAGGCCCTGCCCTCAGGGAGCTGACACTTAAACCCCCAAACTCACTGCCATCCAACCGACTCTGATTCACAGATATCCCAAAGACTTCCTGCACGGACAGCTGGGACCTGGGGCTCCTTCATAGGCTCAGCCCTTCCCTCTCCAGAAGAGAGAAACCTGGAGACCCCAACTAACGAGGGACCTTGGGAAAGCAGCCCCCAGACCAAGAAAGCAGAGGGCAGAGGGTGTCTGCAGTCACAGGGCTGAAGGCAGCCAAGTGGACCGCCAAGAGGGAGCCAGCGCCACTGGGGAGGCCCCTAGGAACCACACCTCCCCCAGGAGTGAGCCAAGAGACAGCACTGAATCCCAAGGGGCCCATGGCAAGACAGAGGCCACCAACCCCAGGAACATGTCCAGAGAGGCCACATGAGTGTGAGCTTGTGCCTAGGCACATGCCCAGCAGAGAGACACACATGATCTTGTCCCAGCTACCCCAAGTGACATTCATAATATCTAGTTTAATCTAAGTCACCATGGCCCCACCTTGAGCCCAGCTTAGAGGGCTCTAGATTGGCCTGCAAGTAGAAGAAAGGCCAGGACGAGACCCTCCCCTGTCTGCCAGTTCTGAGTAGGCATGGCTGTGCCTGTCACACCACTGGCCTTGGCTTTCCCCTAAGCCTCCCCTTGCCTGAACCAGGGGCAGCTCTGGAGCCATCTCTGAGGTCTCCCAGCTCCGGGGGGCAGGGCAATAAGGTAACCAGGCCAATGCCTTAGAGCAGGTGGGTCTTCAGGGCGGCACTGACTCCTGACAGCTCTGCCCAAAGAATATGCTTCCCCCATCCCACCCCACCCGTGCCTTGAGATACAGAGATCTCCTGATGGGACGGAAGAAGCCAGGGGCAGTAGAGAGCTCAGAAGGTGAGCCAGGTGTCCTAGCCGGGGAGACCCCTGCCTCCCACTCCACTTTCCATCTCACACCTCTCCTCTGCAAACGGAGACATTTGTTACCCTTGCTGCGGCTTGGAAATGTCTGTCAGATCCAAGACACTTTATTAAACATAATTCTTCAGTGCTTGATGCTCAAATAACAGTTGATGATACACATGCCTTATTATACTAGTCCCCACGGACCACCTCCCTGTCCCAGCGTTGTCCACTTCGTGCCCTGGGATACTTTTCCTCAGAGCACACAGCTCCGCTTGACACACTACACGTGTGTTTTCTATTTAATCCCTAGCACATAGAGGCCCTCAATGAATATTTCGTGAAGGAAGAGTAAAGGCTCAGTAAGTGCTCATTGTTTCCATCGCTACTGCAGCGACCCAGTCTTCCCTACCATCCCGGAGTTTACAAGAAGGCAATAAAATGTCAATACGAGTGGTTGAAGGCCTAGCAAGTGCCAGGTACTGCACTCCAAGCCTCGAAAACAAGTTCACTGCCATCTGGTCCATTCCAACTTACAGTGACCCCGTAGAACAGGGCAGGACTGCCCCTGTGGGCTTCTGAGACATGAAAAAGTAGAGAGCCTCCTCTTTCTCCCAAGGAGCGGCAGGTGGTTTCAAACTGCTGAGCTAGTGGTTAGCAGCCCAGCTCATCACCTGCAATGTCACCAGGGCTCCTCCTGCTCATCTCACAATAATCTTCCTCCCATTTCACAGATGAACGGAGACTGTGCCTTTCCGATGGCCCAATCGTGAGTGTCGGGGCCTCCCCACTCCCTGCTCTGCTCTTCTCCGAGGAAAGCAGCTGACCCGCGTACACAGACATGGTGGGAAGCACGGGGAGGGGTGGCAGCCTCTGTCACCCTGTGCGGATCCCAAGAAAGACTTGGTCTGACCCTCGAGCTGATCATGGGAGAGCTCGGGACAGAGAGAGAACTCTGGGAAGAAAGCGGGTTTTCCAGCCTACCTGAGTCCAGGTACCCCAGAGAGGGCTTGAGGCAGCTGCTAGAATACCTGACCCCTTAAAATAGACCTCTCTGGGCGAGAGAAGGCACTTGCCAGAGTTGGCCTTCCCTCTGGATGCCTATTTTAGTCCCTGGCAGGGAGCGCATCCCTGTCCCCACTCTGGCCAGCTTCTCAGGAGCAAACTTTTCCACTCCCTACCCTCTCTCTGAACTCTCTCAAGTCCCGAGGAAAGACAAGGCCAGCTGCCTTCCGGCTGCCTTTCACCAGTGCTTCCCCGGCTCTGTAGGGAGCTGGTCCTTTGCTGGCCCGTCCTCCAGTGAGCCAAGGCCAGAAACAAGGCTCTTTCTTTCCCGGAGCCAAGGGACACGGCGCTGGAAGCACTCAACCTGGGGCTGCAGAAATGCCCTTGATATTCCCAAATGGTGGGCTATTATGTAACTATCAAAAATCCTATTTAGAGAAAAATTGGCATGGTGGTCGGGAAATACTTACACAATGGTCTTCATGTAATTAAAAAGTAAGTGTAAGATTATGTATACCTTGCGATTTAGTCTGTATTTTAAAGAAATATAAAAATATTAGGAAGCAACTATACCAATACGTTAGGTTGAATACATTGGTGGTGTTCAACTATTTGGGGCTCGTATGACAGCTGCATAAAAGGGGACTTCAAAAAGTTCAAGGAAAACAGAATCTAAAGATAATGGAAATTCTTCTTGAACTTTTGAAGCCCCCTCATACAACTCAACCTAATATTTTAAGGTAGGAGAAGACGGGTGATTGCTTTTCATACACATGCTTATGTGTATGTGTATGTATGCATATATATACATGTAAACCAAAAAATTAAAAAACCTTGCCATCAGGTGGACTCCACCTGACAGTAACTCTCTGTGTGGTTTCTGAGAGTGTAACTCTTTCCATAGCAGATAACCTTGTCGTTTCCCCAAGAAGCATCTAATGGGTTTGAATTCCGAACCTTGCCATGAGCAGCCCAGGCCCTTTCCCACAGAACCCCTGGGGCTCATTACACTTCCTCACAAACACACACAGATGCCCTGGTGGGGTAGTGGGCTGTACCTTGGTTAACACAAGGTTCGCAGTTTGAAACCATCAACAACTCCTCAGGAGAAAGATGAGGCTTTCTCTTCCTGTAAAATCACAATATTAGAACCCCCACCACCACCCCGCCCCCGAGGCAGTTGTACCTTGTCCTGTAGCCTCACGGTGAGTTGGAATCGACTCATGGCAGTGAGTTCATTTTTGTTTTTTGTTTTGCTTAAACACACGCACGCATGTGCACACGGACTTCAAAGAGTGGGGGGAGGGGGATTCCATTATCTTGTAGTTCCATTTTCCACAAACCCTTGAAACTCCCTGGTATGTATTGCAAGCTTTCTCTCTTGGAATAGAGTGACTTTTATACGAAGGACGATAAGCACTATAATAAAAGGAACTGAAACTGCCGAAGGTGATCTTTCTGCCCTGCTTCCTCTCTCCTTCCTGGGAATGGCCAGGAGGTGCCTCAGGCCTTCTCCACCCTCCTTCCACGTGTGCAGGCGCAGATGGAAGGATCAGATGGCCTTATAAGCTTAAAAACTATGTGCTGCTTATCATGGCAACGTAGCTAAGGAGAGATTTATCTCAATCCTTAGAGACAGGCTAAGCCAACTGGCTTGGGACAGGTATTTTAAGTGGCTCTGCTTGTCAGCTAGCGAGCAGGATGGAGCCCTGAAAATGGAGTGGCTTGTAGCAGAAGCCCGCACAAAGACAAACTGCTTATTGCTTCTTCCCTTCTGGGTCTCAATGTCCCTTTCCAATTTACTCTCGTGTCTTTACATGTGCGTGTGCATGTGCGCACGTGAGTGTGTGTGTTTGTATGTACCTCTCTGCCTCACGTGTGACATGCCTCCAGCTCTCCCTGAAATGGAAGCTGTCGGTCAGAGCTGCCTCTCTCTCCGGGGTCAGCTGGCCAGTGTCCTGCTGGCTGTGTTACCTCAGAGACATAGCATGATTATCGAACTCAGCCTGTCAGGCCTCCAGCCAGTTTGGCTCCTGCTTGCTCTCCAGCTGGCAAGACTGGTCCTTCTCCCTTATTCTGGAACCTTCTAGAAACTCAGCAGTCTGGCCGGAAGACAAACCCTCCCAGAGCATTGAGGGAGGGCAAAGGAGAGAGCAAGAGCCAGCAGGAGCCTGGAGTCAGTACAATCAGGTAGGAAAGGAAGGTTAGCACAAAGCAGAGCCCGACTGATGTCCTTCCCCAGAACAGAGCGCTGACTCTGGGGAGAAACAGCAAGCCAGCTCTGCTTAGACCTGGCCCAGCTCCCTCCCTCCCATGAGCAAGCCCAGGCGCAGAGTTACCAGCTGCCTCTGCCCATCTAAGGAGTGACAGCCAGGGTCAGGGCCACCAGCCAGGCAGAAAGAAAAGGAAGCCAAGATAAAAAAAGATTTTTTTTTTTAATCCAGACTTCTGCAAGACAAGA